TTTCTTTTCTTTTTTTCCTTTGTGAATTGTCCATTCGGATTTGGATTGCTCATCGATCTATTATTTTTATATTCTTGATTTGGTCATAGTCACAATGTAAAGGTTTTCCAATTTGAGATTGAAAATGATGGCAAGAAACCACTTTCAAAACAATTTCAATCACATAAACCACACAACCACTTGATATCACTTTCTTAACTTGTTTCTTTTTTTTTTCATTTCAATATAAATTTAGCTCTAAAACTAGCCCTACATTGTATCACTACATAAAGTCCAACCTACCTATCCCACATGGGTATATACACCAAGATGACGTCTAGGGTTTGTACCTTTTAAATAAATAGGAAAAAAAATAAAAGAAAACTCATATATTAATGTCACCAAAATTAAAAAATAGTAGTTAGTGCATAGGTCAATGACAAAGTCTAATAATTGATGCTTACAGATGTTTTTTTTTTTTTCCTCATGAAACATATGAAAGAAAAAAAAAACATTGGAAATTAATAATACATATATTCCTTAACAGTATCAATAAACTATTTACTTTTAATAATAGTTGTTACCATTTACATATTATTTGATACTCTCTTTTTTCTCTTAGTAATGAACAAGTTATTTTTTGTTATACATGATCGAATAAATAATTTATAAGTCAAAATCATTCATCTTATGAAGAGAAAGTAATGTTAATTAACGTTAAAATTAAGTGAATTATAAGATAAATATTCTTTCATTTAAAAAAATTAATCACATATATTTTTTATTATATTTTATTTATTTATTTAATTTTAGAATATTGACCTTTATACTGAAGTTGAAGATAAAATTCTTTATTATAATAAATCTTATATAGTTTATGTTTCAAGAATGACAATATCTGATTTCGTATTTGTTATAGTTATAATTAATTTTCAGATTTTGTCTGTTTTAAAGTTTTAGTTCGTTATGATTTATTTTAAAAGAAAATTTTATGGATTATGATTTATTTTAAAAGAAAATTTTATGGATTAAGAAAAAAATAGTGAATATAAACTATTTTGATATACTAAAATTTTAAACTACCATCCTCAAATATAAGAATTAATTCTAACAAATAAATATATATATATATATATTAATTCATTAATAATTTTTTAGAAATATAAAATTTTAAAATAAATAATATATTAAATATGATAATAGACTTATGATATACGAAAAATAGAATAAAGGGGATGTGAATTAGGGTTACAGGACAAATAATTGAGACCTATGAGAGAGCAAAAAGTACAGCTACAATGCTACCCTTGTATTAGAGGTGTGAAAAATATTAATTTAGTTTTTCCAAAGAAATCACCTTTACCAACCAAAATCATTTTACAAAATGCTTTGGTTCTAACTCAAGTAATAACACTTTTGTTTTATTTGAAGTTATTTGTTTCTATAAAGTGATTTTATTTTATATTTTCCAGTTTAGTTCAATACTTTTCATTTATATATAGTTTTAAACATGTTTCGATAAGGTTTTTAATAGCTTGTTTAAAATACTAATTCTTTAATAGATTAAAATTAATCTACACATAAATTTTGTTTTTTTTATTCATGTATGTTTTACATCATTCAATACGGATTTTAAAAGTAGTTAGAGGGAGTTCAATCTTTTTTAATTATCTTGATATTTATATATGTAATATTATATTTATATATTTAATGTATATATTAAATATATGTTTTGATATCTTAATTTTAAATTCTGTCATTTATCTTTTATTGTAATCGTGGACGTCTTTCTCTTAGCCGTAAAATAATTTTTAAATTATAATTATCAGATTATAATTTTATTGTATAAATTTTATCTTCTAAAAACACAATACAACTTTTTTTAATTTAGTTATCTCGTTCTATTCAACTAAATTTGATAATAAGCTAGTGACATTAATAATAATACTAAAAATTGTGAATTGTTATTCTAATCATTAGATTATTAAAACAATAATAATAATAAGAATAAAAAATAAATAATGATGTTGGAGACCCTCACTAGGAAATTAGATTTGGGAACAGGTGGCAGCAAATATTGGGTTGGTGTCGGCAGAAAAATGAGTAAAGATTCAATTTTTCTTTTTCTTCTCAATATTATACTCCACGTGCGCCAAATCTTATCTTCTTTTCTCTCTTTCTTAATTTATTTGGACAAAAGTTAGAAGAAGAACCACGTTGTCATTGTCATTGCCTCATATTTATTTATTTCTAAAATAAAACTTTTTTTTTTTCATGAGGACATTTTGAGGAGAGAGACATAGTCTCACGTGCATTCCATCACATTGAAATATTTAGGTTAAATTTTAGTTCCTGTAATTTTAGATGTTGGATATGCAAAATTATGATCCTTATACAATTTTAATTTTCAACATTTAAAATTAAGTAGTTTTAATTTATACTTATATGTTATATATTTTGTTACAAACATTACATGAACGAATGTTGTATTGAAACTATTCTAGCAATTTTATTTTAAGGTTTTTGGATGTTAATATGATGTTACCTCAATAGTTTCTTCTTATTTAGGTAATTAGGCCCATACTTTTAGGGAATGTATCTGGAATGTTGACCCATATAAACCAGCCTATTTCTTTTTCCACCCCAATAATTTCTTCAGTACCACCATAATATATGCAAAATGTGAAAAATGTTGTTAAAGCCAATTTTTCTCTTCGGCACCACACCTCCGTACCAACAACACCTGCACCTTCAATCGTTGCACTTTCAAGCATCATTTTCATTTTATAGTTAAAAATTAGTTGATTTTTATTTTGAATCATATAATATACTGTGCATATAAAAATCACATAAAATGTGTATTTGATTTGTATTTATGGTATTTCGAATTATTGAATCTGAATACGTTTTTAAGGAAATTGAAAAATGAGTTATGGATATGTTAATTTGGAATGCATTTTTAAATTGTATTTTTTGAAAATATATTTTGGATTATTGAATCCAAACTACATTTTTAAAAAATCTAATCCGAAAATACATTTTAGAAAATATAATTCAAAACTTATTTTCAGATTATGTTTTTAATATGTATTATGAATTTTTTTCAAAAATGTTTCTGAATCAGTATTTTAGAATATATTTTTAACAAATATAATTCGAAAATGCATTCTGGAAAATATAATCTATTAATCATTTCTAAAATATATTTATATTAGGGGTAATATTATATTTTGAATAAATATGAGATATAGGAAGAATGTATGGAAAATGAGATGCAGGAAGAAAGTATAGAAATGCGAAGAGACCGCCTTAAGATGAAAAAGTCTGGACTAAACTTAAGCCCACTATCTGTCAAAAAAAGTAAAAGTCCATTGGGCTTGTTGGCGTAAAAATGGCTTTGAGCCTTAATCTATTGTAGGCTAATTACACGAGAATTACATATTTAATAGAATATATATAGTTATTATAAAATTAGTTTATTTACAATTTTAAAATAGAAATATAGAGATTTTATATAAGAGATTCTAAAAAATAATTTATGTATAAGCAAATTTTAGTTTATAGTTTTGAATTTTTTTCTCCTCCTGGAATTTCTTACGAAAAAGTCATTCAAAAATTCCTTTAATATTTTTTTACTCTATAATTCTTTTATTAACGGAGACGTGATGGGTTAGATCAAGTAACTTATAATTAAAGTTGTATTGGACTCTAAAAATGCAGGCCTGAGAACTATTAGGCCTGTTCGAATTGGGCCAAGAATTAGACGGTTCCTGCTAGACTTTTTATTGGGCTGAAACAGAACACTTCATTGATCTATTAACTCGATAAAAAAACCTTTTTTTATATATGTTTCTTGTTTATTTTTTTTAATTTAATTAAATAATTTTGCGTATATATATATATATATATATATATATATATATATATATATATATATATTACAAATGAGGAAAATAAAGTGAAGTGAAAAAAAGTTAGGAATATTCTATAAAAGAGCCATTCAAGGTAAGTATCTATTATGCTTGAAGAATAATGATAAAACATCATAGAATATACTTCCACACAAAAATACCCATCTCTAAAGAAAAACTAAAAAATATTTTTGAAAAATAAGAATGAGTTTTTTTTTTCAAAAGAAAATAACATTAAGTTAAATTGACATGTTGGCACAAACGACAAGCATGACTAAATTAAAGAATAATCGAATAAGATAAAAATAGATCCAAGTCAGTGTCAGAAACCTAGTAGACAAGATTCACCATTAACACTACCATTAACTGTTACAATACAACAACAAAATTAGTTTATTTTGGGGTAACACAAAAGATTTTTATATTATTATTCATTAATAAACTACCTCGTATAACACTTAATTGTCTTTATCTTGTAAAAAAAACATATTAAATGTTATAATAATGTTATTATTTATGACGATGTTATTAAATTCAAACATGATTATAATTTTTTTACTATAAAAACATGATATCTTTCTTAAAAGAAATTAATTATGTACTAAAATTATTATAATTGGTCCAAGGAAAAGGCTTGTGTATAAAGCAAATAAATGATTAAGAGAAAAAGTAGAACTAAATATATTTGACAAAATCAATTGATCTTATCATATCCAGCAAATAAAGCATTAAAAAATATGAATGAAAAAGCGTCTCATCAGAAAAGTTGCAATTTTGTTTTGCTCTTTATTCTATCATCTTTTTCTGTGACCCCACTGCAGTCTGCAACCACCGCCAACTCCTCCTTCACTTCAAACTCAAACCCTTACGCTCTCATTCACACCCATTTTTTCACAATTTTTTTCTCCCCGTCTTTAATTTTCCCTCGGTCCCACACATCAATCTTCAAAGTCAAGCAAGAATAACAGACACAAAGGGCCAAACGAACCAAACTTCCCACAACACTTTCTCTGACACCCAAGCAGAGAAACGAAGTCCCACTTCACGCGACTCAAAAAGTTTCGAACTTGCCCCACGATCCTTCCAATTCCTTATCCGGGTTATCGAGCAATGTCCGCCAAGAGGCACCACCAGAGCGCCATGCCGGTGCACCCAATGGAGGAAATTCTCGGAGCTCCGTTCGGAGACCCAGCTCCAAATTTCACAGAATCGGAGCTCCGGGAGACAGCGTATGAGATTCTGGTCGCAGCGTGCCGGAATTCGGGGCCGAAGCCACTGACTTTCATATCGCAGTCGGAGAAGGGGGACCGGGATAGGGCGGCGCCGGCGCCGTCGTTGCACCGGTCTCTGACTTCGACGGCGGCGAGCAAGGTGAAGAGGGCTCTGGGGCTCAAAACGTCGTCGTCGTCGAAGGGAAGCAAGCGGGCGGCGACGACGGGGGAGTTGGTGAGAGCGCAGATGAGGATTTCGGAGCAGAGTGATACCAGAATTAGAAGAGCACTGCTCAGAATTGCTGCGGGCCAGGTTTTGAATTTAGTTTAGAGTTTAATTTTATATCCACTTTCTAAATATACTTTTTAAAAGAATTCATTTTTGGAATGATTTTTAAGGTGGTTATTGTTATCCAATTTTTGGTAATTGGATGACAATCTATTTGCTTTAAAATTTAAGGACCTATTAAGTGCTATGGAATTTTTGTTTTATTATCAGAGAGAAACGGGTTGAGTGTGTGCTTTCAAATTTTAAGGTTGGTTTGGAGGTTTTATTTGGGTTTCTGAGTTGATTTTTGCTCAAGTGAGTGGTTGCCTTGCAGTGGAAGTTTTGTTCATCTTTACCTTGTTCAGGTTCTCCTAATGAGTGCATGGCACTTAGTTTGACTCGATTTGACTACTTGAGTGTGTTGAGTTTGGATGGAATTTACTTGAGTTTTAAGCATGCACATAAGTAATCATTGTTTGCTTTTGATAGCTTTGTGATTTGGCTAAACCTGATATCAAAGATGTAGTATTCATCATTAGTTGTTGGCTATGATGCACAAATAAGTTTATTCTAAAAATACATATTATGTGTACGTGTAAGATCCCGTATGATACGATTATTCTAAAAAAATATATTGTCTCATATATACTGTCTACAAATACGAATCATATCAATCTAATTTCTTTCTAGAAATCATTTATGAAGAGTTTTCATTGGTTTATCAAGGAACAATACTTCCATATTCTATATTATACATGTTTTTATGTGTCATAAGAAGTTGTATTGAATATTTTAACTTTTTTTAAAGGCTTGGATGCTTCATAGATATGTATTGGTGAAGTATCTGAGACTATGTGATACAAATATGTGAAACAAATTGAAATATCGGTGCTTCGAACATTGTTGCTCATATGACTTCCCTTTGTGCTTATTGGTAAGTAGAGAATATCATTCCATATAACATGTTCACAAAAAGTGTTGATTTGATTAAAAGTCATTGATTGTGCTGATCTAGCTTGCAAGGTCTTGCTCCTAATGCCAAGGATTGCTGTAGTTGCAGGAAGTCTGTATCTGTCATGACCACAAACAGATTATTTAATTGTTGTGAACCTTGTGACTCTAGAAACTAATCATGAGGAATAACGGGTGACTCGTGTTCTATTTTTTTCATCAGGCTTAGCATAAGTTGTAAAGCTATCAAAATAAACTGTTGTTATTTATTAAGTTATGAAAAATATTCCATTCAATTTTAATGGATTTGATTACTGACGGTGAGTTGGAAGGAGTATAATTTTAGATGTAAATCCTGATGAAGTGCCATCTCATGAAATCTCTAGAGACGCTAATGTAGTTTACCCTTCTATAAAGTTGAAATTATTTAATAAAATATTTTTGGCCTGGCCAATCTCAGTCCAAAGTTATTGAACAGGCCTAATGTGATTTAGCTGCTGCCCACATCACTGTCACTGCACTACCCACAGTTAAGGTAGTTAAACCATAACATAATTACAAACACAACTGCAGCTATAATTCAAAACTATATGAAGACAGACCAGAAGCTAATGAACATCAGCTATCATTGATTGTATATAGTATTATTTTAACTGTATATCACTTTTGTTTATTGTTTGTTTGGTGATTGATTAGTAAGTGGCATATATTTCCTACTGTTAAAAAAGGGTTAATTTCACTTCATTCCTTTCTATATTAGTTGGATTGAAATACGTGGATCAAAATGTAAAATTTTAACATGTGCAACATGGTTCCTTGTATCTGTTTAATTACAGTAATCACTTACTACTAGGTCTTTGTTCATGAAATAGCTTGGAAGACGCATGGAGTCAGTTGTTCTTCCTCTAGAGCTAATCCAGCTGGTTAGGAGTTCTGATTTTCCAAGTCAACAACAATATGAGGTTTGGTTGAGGAGAAATTTGAAGGTTCTTGAAACAGGACTCCTTTTGCATCCTTACCTTCCCTTAGATAAATCAGATCCTTCTGCTCAGAGCCTACGCCACATAATCCTTGGAGCATTTGAGAAACCCATGGATATTGGAAAGAATGGTGAATCAATACAAACCCTTCGAACTGTTGTATTGTCTCTTGCTTGTAGATCACCTGATGGGTCTATATCTGAGACATGTCACTGGGCTGACGGTTTTCCACTGAACCTCTGGATCTACCAGACTCTTTTAGAAGCTTGTTTTGATCTTCATGCAGTATCTTCTGTGATAGAGGAGGTTGATGAGGTCTTGGAACTCATTAAGAAGACCTGGGTTATGCTTGGAATTAATGAGACGTTGCATAATATTTGTTTCTCATGGGTCTTATTTCATTGGTTTGTTGTCACTGGCCAAGTGGAGAATGATCTTCTGTTAGCATGTAGTAATTTGTTGGCAGAAGTTGGGAAAGATGGTGGGTGCTCAAAAGATCCTTTTTGCTCAAAAATTCTGAGGAACACGTCAAGTTTGATACTGAGTTGGGCAGAGAAAAGGCTCCTTGCATACCATGATACTTTCAATGATGATAATATTGAATCAATGGAAAGTGTAGTTTCCCTTGCAGTATTATCAGCAAATATATTGGAAGATACCTCTCATGACTACAATAGGAAGAAAAGGAAAGAAGATGATGTGAACTACACTAGAGTTGATAATTATATTAGATCATCTTTGCGTGCTGTTTTCGTTCAGGCAAGTTCCCTCACTCATTCCAGCTCCCTTAAATATGTATACTCTCTGTTTCATATGGCACAGACGGATCACAAATTGTGACATTTTTGTATATGGTTTACCTCTGATACCACTGACTAAAAGTGGATAAAAGCAGCTGTTTTTATCTATTACAGTATTGAGTTCTAAAACAATTTTTTTCCTCACCTTTTCGTCTGTATGTAGAAAGTTGGCATATCTCTTTTTATGCATTGCAAGAGCTTACCACTTCTCTAATACGCAAGGCTAATTTATAAGCTTAAACTTCGTTCTTATGTTGCTATGTTTAATGTGTCAACATTTTCCGATTGGCTAAATACTTTAAAAAGCTAATTTCCTAATGTGGTACTATCAGTATGACCTAACTCTTTTTTAATCTCCTTTAAGGCAGAAATTGGAGAAACTGGACCCCAGCAAGCATCCATCTAGAAAACAGAATAAAGCCTTTCCCATTCTTTCCATCCTTGCTCGAGATATTACTGAACTGGCTTTTAACGAAAAAGCAATATTTAGTCCCAAACTAAAGAGATGGCATCCTCATGCTGCTGGTGTTGCCATTGCTACTCTTCATGTGTGTTATGGAAATGAGTTGAGGAAGTATGTTAAGGGTATCAATGAATTGACACCTGATTCAATAGAAGTGTTGATAGCTGCTGACAAGTTGGAGAAAGATCTGGTGCAGATAGCAGTGGCAGATTCTGTTGACAGTGAAGATGGTGGAAAATCCATTATCAGGGAGATGCAACCTTATGAGGCTGAAGCTGTAATTGCTACTCTGGTAAAGTCATGGATAAAGATCAGAGTAGATAGGTTGGGAGAATGGGTTGACAGAAATCTGCAACAAGAGGTTGTTGCCCTTAATCTAATCAAGTTAACATAATTTTATTTTATTTTTCAAACAAAGTGTTTCTCCTTCCATTTAATTTTTAAGAGGATATTTTTGAAGATATTAGCAAGTCTAAAAGTCGTAATATAATTTTTAACTTCACCTCTGCTTCCCATAGGTATGGAAGCCACAGGCAAATAAAGATGGATTTGCGCCTTCTGCTGTTGAAGTTCTAAGAATCATAGATGATACTCTGGAGGCTTTCTTTCTGTTGCCTATACCCATGCATACTGATTTGGTTCCTGAATTGATGTCTGGTCTTGACAAATCCCTCCAACAGTACATTTTGAAAGCCAAATCTGGCTGTGGTATATATTAATTGCATAGCATTTATTTTACCAAGGGGAGTTACTGAATCACTGTGTGACCAGCATTTCCCCTTTTATGATCTGCAGGGAGCCGCAGTAGCTTCATCCCAACTTTGCCTGCATTGACTAGGTGTTCAACAAAATCAAAATTTAATGGTGTATTCAGGAAAAAAGAGAAGTCGCAAGTGGCTCAGAGGAGGAAAGCCCATGTTGGAACCACTAATGGTGAGAACTCAATTGATATAGCCCAGATGTCTGTTCGCATCAATACTATGCAGCGTATTCGAATGGAGTTGGGGGTTTTGGAGAAGAGGATAGTCGCCAATCTCAGCAGTTCAAAATCCGCTAACGAGGACATAGCTAATGGGGCGAGCGTGAAGTTCAAGCTTTCTGCATCTGCTGCTGTGGAAGGCATTCATCAACTCTGCGAATGTATAGCATACACAATCGTTTTCCATCATCTCAGTCATGTTCTCTGGGATGGCCTATATGTTGGGCAAGTTGCATCCGCCAGGATTGAGCTTTTTCTGCAGGAGCTTGAGCAATACTTGGAGATAATATCATCTACACTGCATGACAAAGTTAGAACACGTGTAATTGTTGAAGTGATGCAGGCTTCTTTTGATGGGTTCTTGTTGGTTTTGTTAGCTGGAGGTCCATCGCGTGCTTTTTCTCTGCAAGATTCTGTTATTATAGAGGAAGATTTTCAGTTTCTTACTGGCTTGTTCTGGTCCAATGGAGACGGATTGCCGACCGAATTGATAGAAAAGCATTCTACCACTGTCAGAGGTGTACTTCCCTTGTTTTCTGCAGATACTGAGCACATAATTCAGCAATTCAGTCAGCTTACAAGGGAAATGTATGGTTCTACAGCAAAATCCAGGCTTCCATTGCCTCCAATTGCTGATCAATGGAGCCCCACAGAACCAAACACGCTTTTGCGAGTATTGTGTAACAGGAATGATGAGGCAGCTGCTAAGTTCCTTAAGAAGAATTACAACTTACCCACTAAGGTTCAAGTCTAACAATTGACAAGTAACCACTCTGATATGCCACGCCTTCCACGCAATTTAGATTTTTAGTTCTTTTTTGTGTTGTGAATATCTGGCTGGTTTACGATTGAGGTAAAGGTAGTTGCAACTTTGCGTTATATTCTTACTTATCAACTCTAGGAAACATGGTGCTATATCATCAATAATGTTCAAAAGTATACGATGTACAGGGGTAATTCTTGGCATTGCTAATGTGTTGACCTATTTCCAGCTCGTGTCGAAACGCAATTGCTGACGACGCTTTGTAACACAGCAGTTTTTATAATTTGTTACACAATTTGTTTTATAATTTCGAATTGAATGGTCTTATTTATTTGTGCAACACTTTAATCTCCCCCCATAAACTATTTGAGCTTGATCTTGTAAATGTTAGAAATTATTTATTTGCAAATTTTATTATTGGAGGCATTACTTGAATAAATTAATTATCCTAATAATGTGAAAGATCCAATTACTTATTGTGACAGAAAAACGCTACTAATGTATTTTTCAAACACCTAAAAACCCTGGTTTAAATCAGTCAATATCTTTTTGTGGCAAAGAACTCAAGCAAGACGAAAATTAAGAGAAAGTGCTAAATCAAGAATTGCAATTTACGTTAATTTTAATGGGAAAATACTTACATTCTAATCCTATGTACTTAACATTTAATCATAAGTTGTGCGTCCATAATTTTTTATGGCACCATATTAAATAAGTTAAAATTTTATATATGAATATTATATATTTTATTTTTTATTTTGTAATTTGTTTATTATATAGATATGATATTTTAATTAAATATATAGTTTATATTGTAATATATTTTTATCATTAAAAATAAAATATTACATTATATTTATATATATTAATATGTCTAATCAAATGAAGTTCCAGATGAAACTATGAATGATTTTAATTTTTAAAACATTATAAAAAAAAGATATACGATTACTTTCTAGTAAAAAATTACAGTCATTAATTTATGTTATATCACATTATTAAATTATTTCTATCTACTAAAAGAATAAATAGTCTATTAAAAATATAAAAAATGTTACATATATATATATATATATATATATATATATATATATATATATATATATATATATATCATAGTATGATAAAAGGTAGTTGCAATTTGTCTTGAAAATTTTAACTAGTTATTTTTATTCATTTGGCAAGAAGTTATCGTTATATATTTTTAATCAATTAGTACCCCTGGTCAGAAAATTAACATGAAATAATTTTTCTGATGGGCACTTTTTCAATTCTAAAAAATGAGATCTTACAAAATTGGGTCAAAATAGTGTTCCAAAATTTTCATTTGATCGTTTGACACTCGAGAGTAGCTAATAATGCCGGCAAAATCTCTTTCATGGCAATTGCATTAGTTGTATACACGTATACATGACACGCACACTACCAAATAAGCTTACCCCTACCCAAGTAACTGAAAAAAACTAAACTAAAAGGGATTCCTTTTTAGTCCTTTTCTTTTTGAGGCGGGTTTTGAGCTTGTTTTCTGCAAAACGTGGAAACAAGTGAGTCATGGCTAGGTTAAGTGATCTCCAATTAAAAATATTAAAGAATTAAAGCACATACAAAACTATCATATACTAACCGATTTCGACTTTTTAGTCTTCCCTCTTATCCTGTTCTTTGGTGGTTTCAACTTGTATATCCGAACCATCCAATGGTGAGTTGTGAAGACCTGAACGCATTATAAGCCATGTCTAGCATTAGTAAGACTAAAGAACATTGAAGGTACTGCGCGATGATTAATTTTCATCAGAATAACTGGAAGAAAAATGCTAATAAACAATCTTTCAGAGTACCCATTAACGAATCAAAAAGTACAAACTTTACAGTAGTTTTACCATCACTCCCCCACTCAACCCCATTTGAAATCTTCCTACAATATTTTCATACTATTAAATGCATTTACTTGTTGAATGAATTCTTAAAAGTATTGATAATATATAATAGAAAAATGTCATACTACTAATATGAACAATATCCATAAAAGTCGTACAAAAAACCGAATTATACCATTATTAAATTTTACTAGTCCAATAAACGCTAAGTAAGTAAACCGGAAAGAAAATACAGAATGGCTAATTGGTTTAAAAACTAATGAAGTTCATATTCCAAACCTAAAAACTTGAGTATCTTTTTCATTTCTACCACAACTTGAAAGACCAAATTAGTTGGAGTTAAGGGCTACAAAGAGAGTGCTGGCAGATAAAGTATAAACCAAAATAGAGTGTAAAAACACATAAAAAAAGGAAATATATATATATATATATATATATATATATATGAGAGAGAGAGAGAGAGAGAGAGAGAGAGATCTGAAGAAAACTTGTCAGCGTGAGATAATAGAATCATATAAAAATGAAAACTACAGGTATACGTATACTGTCCAAAATTCAAATGATAAAAGTTCATAAGTACTATCGTCGACTACTGAGGAACGATGCAAATTAACTATCCAAACACTAATAGAGACACTGTAACACTTAACAAATGTGGACCATTATAGATAAAAAAATTATTTAAAGAACTTACACCATACTGATTATCCATGTTAGCCATTGTAGTTAAGTAATTCATCATGAATGCATTGAATAATTCCAGGATCATAATAGATGAAACACAGTGCAACAAGTTCCTAATATAGTAATTTAACACATTTCAACAGAAACAATCTCACCTCCTCGAAATGAGTAAGTTTGAAATATTTCTTTCCAATTTCTGTCCGCCTCACTCTGTCAAAAGCTTTACCATCTGTCTCCACAAACCTGAAGAAAAAGAGGGCTAGGGAGTTAGGCAGCATAACAGTTGAAAACGTTAATTTCCAACACCAATTCTACAGATAAACTGACCTGTAATATGAAAGTTTATACATAAGGCAGTTAAGCATTGTTGGTGTGCCCATGGAATCAATCCGATATTGACCATCCCTCTGAGTTTTTTTTTTTTTTTTGAAAAAAAAAAACAAAGGGGTTAACACTCTTCAAAAGCTAAAAATTTTAAAGAAAGCTAAAATATCATCTATTCTTAAAACAAAATATCAAGGTGGGATAAACATTGAACAACCAATATTGCTCATTTCACTTACTAAATAATCTGGTTCCTTTATGTGAGGGAATACACCCCCTCCAATTCGAACCATCCACAGGAACTTATTGATATCATCACTGGGATAGCCAACTAGTCCTGTTAATAATTACAGCATCTAATCAGAACAAGGTGACTTAAGATAATACCAATAAAGAGAAAGAAGTTTACCTCCGAAGACAACAAGAACATATTTGACATCCAATGAATGAAAAATTTCCCAAGCTGCCTTCTCTGGAGAAGACATGGCAGTACCGACAGTAGCGATATGTGTGTTATTCCAGGTGTTATTGTCAACAATGACTGTTCGGTTAGCCATGGCAGTTGTTTGGTATCCATAGTCCCACCAAGATGCCACCTACAAGAATTTTTATGAGTCAATATTTCAACATTCGTAACTTGATTTAACCAGCATTTTCTCTTCATTTGAGTAAAAATAATCTTAGGGATAGGAACTTCATCATAAAATTTACAAGTTAGAAACACTACCCACTTGGTTAATTAAATCAATATTTGGTTAACGCATTAACCAAAATTTAAATATTATTAACCAATTTTCATATAATCACTTTTGACAATATGAAGCATATTAAAGAATAAGTAACTTTTTTACTGGTTTAAAAAGTGGAAAAGAAACCTCCATGTTCGGGGAACAATAATTCTTTACAAGGAATAGAGAATGCCCCAAGTTAATTTATAACATCAGCTAAATCACCCCAAAGTGTCAATTGTCTTTCACTTTACATAATATCCAACTACATAATGGCCAACGTACTCAACCTACGGAAACATCATCTGCCATATTTTGTCCATTTAAATTTAAGAATTCATTTAATTTTGAAAAATAATATAAATATCAGAAATTAGCACAAAACACAGGAAATCATGCAAGCTAAAAATCACCGTAATTCCAGACAGTCCATTTCAGAAATAACTTGTAAAAAATTATGAACTTGAAATAGAAAAAAGCAAAGACATAATTTTAGCAACATGGGCAAAAATTTGAAGACAAGACACCCATGAATTTCAGCAGAAAAATAATGAAATCCCATAGAACATACTTTATCATCTACTTCTGTATTATGACTCAACCAAGCATACGCCTCTCTAAAATCGTCAAAAACATGAAGTCCATCGTGTGAATGTGACGTTAAAACAATAGAAGGGGCTGAATAAGCTTCTGCTGCTGCCCATACACTGTGAACCTACAATAGAGATCAAGATAGTGAGAAACTGTTATAACATACGCAATAGCACAGTAGCATGAAAGGGCATTATTGTTCAGAAAGAAATAAAAATTAATAAATAAATCAATCTAAGACATTAAACCTCTAATTGAGTATTAACCAGCAGAGTCCTACAAGTTTTCACTAGCCGTTTGTTTAAAGGTATCACATAAAGGATTCCAATGAAAGTTAGGTTCAGAATGTCACATTTTCACGTTAGGTTCAAGTTTTGGAATAATATTCCCAAAAATTCCCCCTAGGAATGGAAGTTAAGTTACTATCTAGAGTAAATACCTCTCCCTGACTTCATTATTTCACATTTATGTTTCCACTTTTTTTTTCAATTTTTGCTTAAAAATATCTTTTTCTCAAATTGCTAAATGTCAAAACATGTCCATTGGAGTAATATTCCCTCACATTACATTTTTGGGAATGTAATATGATACCTTGAATCAAAGGTATTCGTTTAAGAAAGAAAGTAAATTGTAAAACAATACTAATAAAAATATGTTAGTTAAACAAAAAGGAAACTTCATCAAATAAATAATCCATTTAATTGGTTGTCATACTCCTAGCGGAGGAAAAAAGAAATAAATAACCACCTTCAAAACCTAGGAAACATAAAAAATGAATAATTTCATGCTTAGGAAATTACCACATAGAAGGCACCCAGCAACACAAGCAAGATAATAGCAATGACGGATGTTTCCAGAGGTAAAACCAAAAGCCTTTTCTTAATTTGTGACTTGCTAAGAGGCTTTTCCACGGGTTCCTTTTCCTTCTTCTTGCTCTTCTTTGAGGTCCGTTCCTTTGATGTGTCCTCACTTTTATCCATCTTCACCGAATCATTTGGCACAACACTTTCAGGACTTGCTACCCCTGCCTTCATGGTCAAAAGCACAATTTGAACAAAGCAAACTAATAAAGCAACCACAAGAACATGAAGTAACGCCAAACTGGTGATCATTAGAAAAAATAATGCTTACATCAACCTGGGAATGATCTGATAAGCTGGGCAACTGCAACTTGATAGATCTTGTAAAAACATCAAAAGCCTGAGAAAGTGCAATCCCAGACAATATACATGCTGCTGGAGCAAGTACAAGCATCAAGCGAACCTGATATTCATCAAGATATCTCTCAATAAAATAATAAAAATGTAATAGGAAGAAAAACCACCTCCATTGTTATGCTTACCATGACTCCAGAAAAGTATACCGAAGTAACAATATAAAGTACCACAAAGGAGCTTGCATCAGATAGGGGAGAGAAACATGCCTAAAATAGGTAAGCACCACCATGATTTAATTTATATTAAATATGGAAAAACAGAAAAGAAGATAAAATATAATTTTTCCATAAAAAATAACCCACAATAATGCCAGCTGGAACTAGGAATGCCAAGACATTGATGTCCATGAAGTATGAAGGCCAAGTAGGTGGCTGATGCTCACTAACACTTGCAATGATTGGAATATACTTGCTTGCATAAGTACTGTCACACAACAAAGACGTTAAGAACTTGGGATTGTAGCCAAATCATAAAGAGGAAAAATTTTGCAGAATAACATAAAGAGAAAGGTAAAATTCAAAGACAATTCTTTGGGCTATATTAATATATTAGGTAAACTCCATAGTTATTATGAAATTGAATGACCACCAATCATAAAATGGAAATATTTTGCAGAATGACATAAAGAGAGGTAAAATTCAAAGACACTTCTTTGGGCTATATTACTGTATTAGGTAAATTCCATAGTTATAATGAAATTGAATGACCAAGAATCACCTTAATCAGAGAATATATGTTTAGGTGAAGTGAAAAAAATTATTTTATAATGTTTTAAAGAATTTGAATGATAATTAAGATTGCGAAACAGCACTTACGGATCTAACAGACTTAAACTTCTTCCACTCCATCCCTTTGTTGGGCTTGATGCTACCAATGCTATAAGTACTGCCACCATAGCACAGCATACTGCCCTGCAAAATGAACAAGAAAAGCAGGTACTAGTTTAACATCTTCCAGCAATGTTTTGTAAAGTTAAATAAACCAATAAAAGGGACACCCACAGGCCGACAGAAACCACTAGTGCAACAGCTACTTTGAACATTTTTGGGGAAAGAACTCCTTTAATATAGTACACAAGAGCCACTACATGGATGATAATGAAAACCTGCACAAGAAAAATTAGGTAGGTTTCAGTAATGCCAATAAGGTTGATATATAAGAGAAGTAAAGAGGAAAAATTAAAAAAAGAAATAATTGGATGTGCTAAAAAATAAAATGACTGAGTATATATTCAGTGCTAAATAATGATTAAGCCAATAGACCTGGAACATAAATAGCATTTATATAATAATATAACAATTAGATGAGAAGATTATATTTAAAAGCTAGCATGAGATTTGCAGAAGTTGGGTACTACATTGATAATGATTAAGTTAGATTTAAAAGCTCAAATAGCAAGCTTAACAAGATGAGTAGCAAATCTAATTAATGACAAGATGCTAGTTTTGTCACACGTGAAGTTGATCATGTGGCCTTTCTGAAATTTTGGTTAACAAGTATGGAAGCATTGTTACTCCATACAGGTAGGGAACAAGCTTGTGTTGCATTCAAAGGAGTCACATGTTAACCTTCATACAGAAGCATAATATGATTTAACTAACAAAAGTGTTTTATGATTAGCAATGATCTTTTAAAAAACTATTTGTACTTGAGTTATCTCAACAAAGTTATCAACTTCCAAGTTCATAAGCCCATTTATAAGAATATTAATACTGACTACCTAAAGGGTTATTTAAACTCTTGTTGAAATATTAGCGCATAAATTTTCTCTCCATAGAAATAAAAAGGGAAAAAAAAACAAAGAACATTCAGTTCACTATTTTATTACACTATCATTATTATTTTATGACAAAAATTCCATGTAAAATAAAGAATTCACAAGAAAAGGTATGCAATAAGACTGTTAGGTCAAATATGCTCTTGGTCACATATCTTTATTGCATGTTCAACTTGATCCAAAGACTAGGGCGGAACTGAACTCACCAGAAATGATGCAAAATGCTCTGATGTCATTACAGCATTAAACCCAACCACTGGCACCAAGGAAGCCAACAGTGTGCCCAATACAACCTGCATTAAGAAAATCATAACGTGAATCAGGAACAGGAGCAATAAATTTGAGATGGGTTCCAAATATGCATCCAGGACCAGACCAGAAATTCCTCTGGCCTGTAATTGTAAACAAAACGTGATAAATTCTCAGATAGTAAATATGTAACCTCGAAGGAACGGCAAGTTCTAATATAGTAAAATGAAGAGTTTATGTATATATAAATTTTTCTTTCACATATATGGACATGCAAGTTTATCCTCATTGTAGAGCATTTTATCAATCCGTAAAACCTTTTCAAAAAAGTCAATTCACCTAGTGAGATGCGGCTTTTGCTGTCGTTTATTGTTGTCAAACATTACCAACACTCCACCAAATGTTATCCAAATTAAAGCTTACCACATCAAGCACAAATAATGTACAATGTGCATTTCTACTATCCAATTAAAAAAGGAAAATACATTTATTTTATCTCTAAAAATAACTGTATGACTGAAAGAGAAACTTACAAGAGGTGCGTATGCAATGTAGAGTCGAGAAGAATAGCGACCAGTTACAATGCACAAGAGCACATGCATTGGAATAAGATTGATGATAAAAGTGTACCCTCCCCATGAGCAAACCTGAAAGATAAGAAATGAATTCAACATAAACAAGAGGGGGCAGAGGCAAAGGTAACAAAGATAAATAGTATTGAGAAAGCTTACCATGTAAAAGTATGCTATGGAATTCAAAGTGGCATAAAAGAGGGACCCTGTATTAAGCGTCTAGATGATGTGTAAATCAAGTCAGAAGCTTAATAGAAAATAATGCAAAGCTTAGTGATTTCTAACTGCAGAGGCTTACAGAATATTAAAATCACACATTATTGGACAATGATAATAGTACACGGTAATAATCTGGTGGAAATTTAAGAAGGAAATGTAATTAAACAAGACCAATCATGCAAGGAAAAAAGCTCCCTGCTTTAGAAGATCACCTTAATATAGAGATAGAAAGTGAAGATCAAAGCAAATATAGCAACAGCTTCATTGTCATAGCTGCCAGCCACTGATCGAGATATATATGAGGGGACCTGTATATACAAGATAAATCAAAATCAATTACATGTAAGAGGGACGGCTGAGACCAGCAAACAAAACACCAAAACATAATGGAAGAGAATAACTGTCACCAACAGGCATCATGAATTTACAAGTATACATATCAACACATATGGTTACTATTCGACCAGCATCCATCAATTTCACTAAATATTAATTTGCTAATCATTCAAATATGGAACATAGAATGGTTGAGTCAATAGTTATGATCATGACAATCATAAATGAAATTTTAATAATTATTAGGAAAATTGGAAGACAATCTCATCAAGTAACAAAGCTCATTGAGAAATTCACCATAGCCAGAAGAACTGCTGCTGTCAAACCAGCCCCTGCACCCTTAACCTCCTGTAAAAGGAAGCATCTCCAATTAGAGAGGACATAAACAACAGCAAAAATATTCAATGTGCAATTCTGTCGTCAAGAAACCTTTGTCAGAAGATAAGTTGCCCATGAAGCAAAGGCTGAGAATATAGGTGCAGTAAACACACAGACAGTTTCAACTGAGAGAGGTATGTTTAACGAATTCAGTATCCTGAAACAAGAAGGGAATGTTAAAAAATATCAACTACCTTATCTAAACTTTAAAATAATTGCTTGCATGGATATTTAATAGTATATAACAAATAGAAAAAACACAGCATAAGACAACCAACATTTACTGTGTTTCAAATGCCTACCACCATAAGGTGCCTGCTGTCAAGGTCAAACCAGGATAGACAGTCCCACCAATTACACGTCCAAGGGGATACCTTGAAATGAACAGGAAACACGGACATTATATTATATCCAGGAACATTTAACAATAACCTACTTAAACTATGCAAGTATCGAGGAAAAACTGCTTTAAAAGTAAACACCATCAGCTTACCAAGTTCGGTCATCAAACCAGTTCCAGAAATCATATATCCCATTCTTTGTCAAAAACTGAAACCAACAAATACATGTCATCTTCTCTGAAATTTTAGGGCATTGGCATTAACAGAGTAAAATTGAATTAACGTGCTACGTGACAGCAATGAAGAAATTCCAATTTCCATTAACCAGTATTAAAGATTCCTCAGTCATCCCAATAGCATATAGTAATATGAGCAAAATAGTTCCAATCCAGAGATTGAATGCTCACCTGAGTGACTCTATAGTTGAAATAAGGATCAAACTCGTGAATAACACTCTCATACTTTATAACCTGTACACAATGAATAAAAAAAGTGAAGGAGTGCAAGAAAAACTCTGCCAAACAAATGGAAATACATAACCTACTCTAGGGCCACAGAAAACCAAAGAAGACAGATACAAGTAGAAATTTGAGTTACAACTTAGAAGTATTCAGTTCACAGAAATGGCCACACCATATCACCACTATCATACAATTATTTCAATAAAACATGAGTGCTCCACCAGTCATGCTTTTTCAAACCATAACCAAGGAAAAAAAAAATAATGAAATACAATTACACAAACTAGAATTTCAACCAATAGGAAGGCATCAATTTAGCATCTAATCTAATCTAAATTAAATACTTTAACCGGAAATTCATTTCAAATGCAAGCACATTTGAAATCACATAACAAATTAGAACGACGCAGCATTTTCTCTCACAGTGCATTTCATCAGTTCCGTATAAGCATTACTCTTACACCACTGGTGTAATCGTTTTTTTATAATCGTTGACTTATATCGCGAATGAACAAACACAGAACGGTCAAGCCGTAAAAAACAAAATACTAACCCTAAACCGTTACAGCTAAGCCACTAATATCGCAAGTTATGCTCGACGATTGTGATACACACGAAAGTTAAATTGAACTGTAATTGTAGCTGTTGAATTTAGAAGCACACAATCGCGTTGAGAAAAGGAAAACGCGGAATCGAAACGAGGTTTAGGTAATCAGATCTGCGGAAGAAGGAGGAGTGAGGAAAAAGCTTACCGAGAATAGACGGATCGAGAACGCGAGAACGCCGATCAGGAGAAGGATGAAGAAGGCGAGAACATTGCCGAAGGCGTGCCTGATGGAGGAGACGCCGTTCTGAGCATCGGAGGCCGCCATTGACGGCCAAATTGAGCTCCGAAAATAGAGAAAGTGAGCGAATAAGAAGAAGGGAGAGAGAGCCTCAGTGTGACTCACTGGGGTTTATATCTGTAGAAGTCGTTGGGGTGCCGATCTGGGAAGACTACGCTGTATTGGCTTGCAGAGAATCAAAAGACCACATTGGGTCTTTTTGTCTCAAATGACTGAAATATCCTTTAGTTTATGACGTGGTGAAGTTCTGTTGGCCTTGTTACGAAATTTTGCCACTCTGGGTCATGTAATTGGACGTAGACCCTCTTCTCAGGTCTCCGCTTCGGACATGGCTGATTTTTTATTTTTCGTGCAGTAGTGAAGGTACCATGCCTCTACTTCTATCTCCTATACATAAAATTTATTTTAAATTTAAAATGTTTACAAGTTACTTTTAAATAAAAAAAAAATCAGTAGTTACATTTTTTTAATAAGTTTACAAATTTTAGGAGTTATTTTTATTCTTATTAAGATACATATGTTACTGTAATATTTATTTTATAAAAGTTGCGGCTCTAATATTATATTTTAAGTATTTTGTGTTTATTTTAAACTGTTAATATATTTAAAAAATTAGTTAATTTAGGTAAATACCAAAAATCAAAACTAAATAAATTTTAAAACATATTGAAACCTATTTTTTAAAATCTCTTATCTAATAAAAGTAAGTGGATTAAAGCTCTTGATTTAATGGAGTAATCCCTTCGTTATTACTTTAATTTTACCTTCTATTTAAACCTCTTTATTCTTAACATTAAGATGGAATAACTTCTCTTATTATATTGTAGATTTTTCCATATTAAACATCTTATATTATTTTTTCTCAAATAATATTATTTATTTGTCTTATCATGTCAATAAGCAATACTTGGTAAATGTCATAATTCTCAAAACAGTTTATTAAAATTTATATTTTTTTATTCGAACTTTTCTTTCTTGTATTTAAACAATGAAATTGTATATTGTTTCTGAAATTATTACTCAATGTTAATTAGAATTGGATGTTTCTTTATGTATTCTCATACTTTCTTTCTACACGCATTTTTATCTAAAATTATAATATTATTTCTAATATAAATAGGTTACAGAAAGCTTATTTTGATTTTTTTTTTAATTGAACTTTTTAGAAGCTTTTCGGAAATGTTTCAGAATAAGCTTTTCAAAATTATATTCTAAAAAACTTTTTTTCATATGGAACTTTTTCAAAATACATTTATAAATAATAAAATTAAAAAATGATTTTTGAATTATATTTTCTGAAACATATTTTTAGATTATGTTTTTTTTTAATATTTTATAAATTTGATTTTGGAACGTTTCCACAAAAATTTTAAAATATAATTCAGAAATGAGTTTTTATTATGTTTTCTACTTATTTATGGATTGTATTTTCCAAAAAAATATTTCATATTTAACAATCAAATATTTATTTTCATATCGTGTTATTCAAAATATATTTGTTAAAAATATGATAAAAAAATGTTATGGATTATTAGATCAAAATACATTTTGGCAAAATACAATCTAAATAATAGTTATGGATTAGCCTATTTATAATTTATTTTAAAATTATAGTTTAAAAAAATTGTTATCCAAATTCATCAATTCCAAATATTACAAATGCAAATGACATTTTTTTTTACATAAATTTTACATGCACAACATGTTATACTATTTAAAACATAAATTATCAACAAATTTCTAATTTTAAAGGAAAAATTATGTTTAAATGAAGGTATTTGAATGATAGGATTGGTAAAACAAGTGGTTTAGTCTGTTTGGTAACGTCCTCCAACTCAAATAAACAAATCATAATGATTTAGTTTAGTCTATATTTTAAATTGGACAATTTTTTTTATCTTATTTAGTCCTATGTTAGAGCAACAGGTTAATGAATCATTTTTAACCTAATTAAAAATAAGTTATTTCATACAACTTCTTTTTTATTTTATTTAAAAAAGTAATGTCATTCACTTTATTTAAAATTAACTCATAACCTATTTATTTAGGTAAAATAAGATCAAATGTATAAAATCATAAAAATAAATTATTACAATTTATCAGAAGTCAAACATATCATACCAAAAATATTAGATAACACATATATGTAATTGAAGTGTTTATAGTAATTTATTTAAAATTAAGATTCAAAACTTTATTTATTTCTCAAACTTCCTCGTACTCATTATAACTAAATTGAATATCATATTTAACAATACATGTAAGAAGTGCATCTCCTACTTTCAGGGTCAATTTTTCATTATTTCAATAAGTTAGTTTTAATATATAACATACTACAATACATTTAAGAATATATTGTCTTAAATTATTAATAATTGAAAACAAATGTGATGACAACAAAAAAGAAAAAACTGACCAAAGTAAATAAAAATTATATTTAAAAATTATTATTCTTTCTAAATTATATATATTTTTTAATAAAATAATATTACTTTTATTAATAAAATAATTATTATTTTATAAAAAAAATCAACGTATATAGTCTAACCTGATGTAAGCTTATTTAAATCTGACTTTAAGTTTATTTAAGTTTGACTTAAATAAATTGGATCAAAATTTATCTAATTTTATTTATATAGTAAATTTTTTAATCTAATTTAATCTATCTTTTAAACCTTTTAGTTTAAGTTTATTTTGACATTCCACGATACGGAGTTATGGTGTGCAACAAGAAAACTGGTGGCAATAGCATTTTTATCATTTTATATATAGTATGAGAATGCAGCAAAAATTATTGGATACCGGAATTTGGATCTATTGGACTTTGGGAAACAAGGCCCATGGATCAAAGCCTCACTAGCCGACACATGCCTTAAGGCATACAATGGCCATTGAGTTTTCTATTTTTCATTATGCAATATCTCACGCATTCTTAGTACTATAATTTTTTATTTTATTTTTTTGCCTCTGTCTAAATTATCTTTGTGCAGATAGATTCATTTAACCCTAAACAAAATTTATATTTCAAAACAAAGGGACTGAATGGTAAATTGAGAAAATTACAGTAACAATGGAATCCAATTCAATTCGCAAACCCACTACGTATTTTTAAAATTTAAATAAATTATTTTATTATAACAAGCATGTTTCATATGTGTTCCACGCATTGTTTTTCCAATAATTTGTATAAAAATAAAGGTATTTTTCATTAATTTATTAATTTTTTATTAAAAATAAAATAATTTTTGAAGTATAAATAACTATAATTTGTTTGTTATGAGTAAAAAAGAGTAAAAGTTCATATTTTTTTTTATCTTAAAGTAAAATCAGTAATTATAATTAAATTTTGTCGGAAAATAAATATTGATCAGTATTTAAATGTAAATATTTTTATATATAATAATATATTATTTTTAGTATCTTTATAATTTATACATGTTAAATATCATTATATTTTTAATGTTTTATTATTAATATAATCAAAATCATTTATTCATATTATTACTATATTTATAATAAATGTTATAAACATGCTATATTTGACATTAAATATGAAAGCTTTTACTTAGAAAACTATATTTATGATTAGGTTAAAACTTTTAACATTTTCACTCCTTATTACCATTTTAAATATTTCTCAAGTTTTCTCGGTATAGTTTAATTCTTTAATCTCTGTTTTTTTATATAGAATGTCTCTTAATTTTGTACCTTATTGTAATTTCAACTGCTTCTTGATTCTTTCATCTATATTTTTAGATGTAATGTTTCTTACTTTTGTATCTTCTTATAATTTTAACTGCTCTTTTATGAATATTATTCAATCAATATATAACAGATTTTATTTTATAACTATTTTTTATCTCATAGTTTAATGTACTATTTGTTTTAATTTCATATATTTTATCTCATTCAATTATACTATTATTATATTTTATCTTAAATAAAATAATAGAAAATTGAAAATTCTCTCTCTTTTTTTAAAATTATTCCTCTTATATATATTCACTTTATCCTTTAAAATGCAAAATTTAATGAACAAATATCTTTTATTTTTTTCATCAATTTTGTTTTCAAATAAATTTAATAAAAAATATAATTTCTCTTTCTCATTCCAATTACTTTCAACTGTTAAGTTTTGTTGTTGTTTTGCCACTCATGAATAAACTTTTTTTATATATTAAAAACAAAATATAATGAAAAATGTGGAAACACATATATAAATGTTTCTGCTGGTTACAATGAAATAAATTTAAATAATTTTTATAATATAATCGATATAAAAAAACTTTTCACGTTTTTCACGCACATCAACCATTCCAAACAACAAAAAAGAGTGACAGGTCAGCTTTCCGCGGCAATCACGTCTTTTTATGTTAATAATAATTATGAATGTATTTTTATAATAATAATAATAATAATTTATTAAAAATGTAATATTGATAAATAAATAAGTTGTAACCCATTAATAAAATAATTTTTCTCATAGTTTTTTTTTCTCTGACATCAATAAACATTAGATTAAAAAAAAATATATATATATATATATATATACATATAAATAAGTAGATTGATAGATTTATATATATATATATATATATATATATATATAAAGAGTGTATATTTATATTTTAATTTTATTAAAATTATTATCACATATTTTATTTTCTTTATTTTATTCCTACTCTTATTTATTTGAATTCGATGATGACTAATATATGTAATTGAGAGTAGACATGAATGCTCTACTTCTAAATCGAATTTGGGGGGAAAAGTAGGGACACTGTGCCTGCAAAGTTTTCTTTCCACAAAATTGGGGTCAAGTAGCAACTACCACACTATTTATGAATTGATGGTGTTAAAGATGTTACATAGTACAATTCAACTACCTTCTCATGTTCTATACAAGTAGGGATGTGCCTGCCCGATTTGGTCCGTCCGCCTTTCGCCCAATGAGGTGGAGTGGGCTTAGTCCATTATAGTCATGACGGGATGTAGATCTTGACTTATTTCATTAAGGGAAGAGTTGGTGGACTGAGGGGCCGACCTATCATAATTAAAAAAAATAATTTAATTTTTAAAATAATTTTTTTTAATAAATTTAATAATAAGATTATTATTTATTTATCAATAATTTAATATATATTATTTCAATTTAATAATATAAATCAATATATTATTTTAAGAAATTATAATTTAGAATAATAATAAAATTTATATAAAAATAAATAATAACAAATACATATATAACGTTAAAACTTATAAATTTTATATTTTTTATATTGAAAATTTTAAATATCTATATTTTTTTTATTTGATAAAACTTCATATTATTTTTGGTTGAGTAATTCTTACACCTTTAATTCAAGTAATAAGGATAAAAATAATCAGTGTTTAAAATAAACAAGGAAAACAAGAGAGAGAAAATTATGTTTAAGTAAGGAAAATATTTTATGTGAGAATGAAACTTTTTTAATTTTCTTTTTAAAATTTTTAACTTTATATATTATTTCTTATAATTAATTTTATTATAATAAAAAATTATTTTTTTATTAATTAGATGAATCACATGTTAGTCCATCCCATCTCACTCATCTCACTCATTAACCTGATAGGTTGGCGTGCTGACAAACTAAAACCGACTGGGAAGCTGAAAACACCAACTCATCCGTATAGGCCGGCCCGACACACCTACCACGTTTTAGCGTCCCCTGTAAATTATACAATTCAACTACCTCCTCATGTTTTATATAAGTAGAAACGAAACACACGCTCACGGGTCCACGTGACTATATTTTTAAACAATTATTTTTAAAAATTAATTTTGTTTTCCTTTTATTTATATATATATATATATATATCACATTTTCTTTCTTCCTATATTATTTTTTTAAATTTTAGCGTTTTCTCCATTCTTCGTAAATAACATAATAAAAATTATATTTATTTGATAAAAAAATATAAAATGTTAAAAATTAACCATCCATTGAATGATATAAATAAATTACAATATCATGCTATTTAATATTTACAAATACAATTATGCATACCATAAATTATAAAATTTAGCAAGTTTTAGTACTGTAGTTATAGAAAGGAAGAAAAAAAATTGAATTATATATAAAGGATATTGTAACATATTTTTTTATTAATTTAACTAGTTATCTTTTATTAAATTTTTACAAAAATAATATATATATATATATATGAATTTTATAAATTTATATTAATTACTTTTATGTCAGATATAATTGTTAAAATTGATAATAATTTTTTTTTTAAGTTGATGATTTATCGGATATATTATCTGACAAGTTTCTAATTATTAAAGTTAATAATAAGTTGTAATATGTATAAAAAATAAAATAAATGAGTGAAAATAAATATAATTAAAATAATATATAAAATTAATTTTTTAATTTCATTAATATATTTTATTTATTTATATTATAAATATTTAAATTAATTTTATAGTGATTAATTAGATAAATAAATTTAATACTAATTTAAATAATAATAATAATCATAATAATTATTAAATTTTTATTTATTATTTATTTTAAAAAATATTAATTACTTGTCGTAACACCCCTCTAATTAATTAGAAGACAAAACTAAAATACAGAAACATGGATACTGGTTTGATTGTTCTCCTTCCTCAATCAGTGTCCACTCCAATAGTTTGCATGCAAAATTAAAAAAGGTTATACATAACATCAAAGTGAATGAAATCTCCACTAAACAACAAAACAACACAGGCAAATAATAATATAGAGAGTTTTCCTTGCTTCTAACCTTTAACTGCTTCTTCCATGGCCTTCAAACCTCCCTCGATCCTCTTAGCCATGACCTTCAACCCTGCGTCTGTGAAGGAATCAAGATATTCAAGTGTCCACCCTTGAACTGGCTCAACTTCATAGTGCCACTGAATCTCACACCCATCAGCATTTGGAATCAGTTTCCAAGTTGCAAAGTAGGAGTGAAATCCAACGTTTCCATCCACAATAGAATAGGTAAAAGTCCAGTTAGTAGGGTCAATGGTTAACAGTTTCTGCTTAGTCCAGTTCACAGATTTGTTGGCATCATCATCCACAGGGGTCTTGAAACCAGCACAGAAACGCACACACCCCGGTTGACCAGAGATTCCTTCAACCGGAATGACTGTAGGAGTGGGAAACCACTTGTCAAGGCCAAAGAAATCCTGCAGAAGAGGCCAGATTTCTTCTGCTTTCACTCCTTTTACTTCTGCTGTGGCCTTGCTCTTCCATTTTTCTTGGCTTCCTTCTTGAATTGGCTCCATATTTAGTTTCAACCAGGAAGCTGCAATGCTAAACACAAGAAGAGTGAGAAAGTATGAAGTGTATGTCTTTGTTATGAAGGCATATATAGCCTCATATATAATAGAAATTGGTCCTACATCAAAATGCGACATACTATGAAAACATCTTAACCACCCACTTGCATTCATCTTTTTAAGTGTTTTGGAGGATATGTATATTAGAGTCTAGAGATAGTGCCAAGGATATAGTGTAACCAATTCGATGTATCACCATCTCCACCACAAATTTGTATTTCTGTGATTTTGGAGAATATAGAAGAGTCATATCACAAGAAAATAACCTAGAAAATCCTATATTAAATCTCTAATAATTGTAACTAATCACTCATATACTTGAATTTTCACTTTTAACTTTGAATCTCGACGTTGCTACACTATTTCAATCGACAAGATTTATTTATATATATTTGGCTTGTGCATAATTTAATAATATGTATTCAATCTATGAGTTCATGTGATTGGAGCACATTTTGGTCGACAAGATTTAGTGGATACGTTTTGAAAATTATTATTAATTAAATCTAATGATTACTTTTCTATGCTGGTTTCAATTAAGAGTGAAAAGAAAAAGAAAAAAATAAAAAAATAAAGAGGGGGAGAGAGAGTATTTTATTTATTTATTATTATTATTATTTTAATCTAATAGATAAGATAGATTATAATTTTAAAAAGATATATGGGAAAATGAAGAATAATTTTTTTTAAAAATAGCTTTTAAGTTTTAAAATTTTTAAAAACAAAAAAAAATATTTGATAACGGTTTTGATAAAATAAATTTTGAAAATTTATTTTTATTTTTTAATTTTAAAAAATAAAGGATTTTTTGTTTTAATTTTTTTATTAATAAATATTAACATTTTCATAATAATTATATTAAATTATTTATTTTTATTTAATATATTTTTAAATTTTTGTTACATTTTTTATTTCAAATATTTTTTAAAAATTATCAAATAAAAAATATTTTATATTATTATTTTATTTTTCAAAATTGACGTCTAAAACTGATTTGAAAATTAAAAATCAAACAAGGCTTCGACTCTTACTTTAAATCGATTTTTCCTCGCATATAAATATTATTTTCATAATCATGAACAATACATTTCCCATTACTTTAATATTAAACTATTTGTTTATTTTCAATAATTAATTGTATAAACTAAAAAAGAAAAACACTTCAAAAGCCAGTGATAATTTTCTTCATATATAATTTTTTTTTATCCTGTAATTTTTTTTATTTCTCTAACTTTATTTTTATTCAAATAAAGTAATTCAATTTCTATTTCTTGACACTAATTATAAAATAAAACAAATATATACAGAGAGAGTGGTTAGGGTTTTATATATATATATATATATATATATATATATATATATATATATATATATATATATATATATATATATATATATATATACTACTGATCGTAATAATAGGTCTAGGTGGACCCTTTTAGTCTCAGCCACTTGCTAGAATCAGCCACCATGTGACTTTCACATTCTTCATAAATAAAATACAATCGAAAAAAATGTAGTTTGAAAACAATTTTTTTTTTAATTACGTCCACAATAAAACACCTCATAAATCATAGTTTTGTAGAGAGAGAAAAAAACTCATCAAAAAATGAGAAGCTAACTTTCTCAAATTAAAATACAAAATTTACTAAAAAAACAATGTTACTTTTATTAACAAATTTGATAGAAAAAAAGCGTATTATATTTTTATTTCTAGAAAATTATTTAAACATTCTGAAGATTATTTCCTTCTTCTTCTTAACGACATAAATGATTTCAAAATGTGCTACTTGACTTACATAACAATGGTAGTTGTTACTTGATTACTTTTAACTCACATTATTAAATGAAATAAAAATGTAATAATGTCTAAGTCCCCACAGAGGTTGATATATATATTAATAAGTGGAAGGGTACGTGTAGACATAGTCATGGAAAAGTCATTGTCAAATCATACAGTAAAATTATCAAATTTAGTATTTTTAGTGTGCAAAAGTATAGTTATTTTAAAAAACATTTAAAACAAATTAAAATCTCAACCATAAGAGGTTAATCTTTAGCGAGAGATAATTATTTTAAGTTCTTAGTCTTCTTGACTGATGCCATGGATGTCCCGTCTAACTTCATTCATGGTTCACAAAACAATTAAAATGTGAAGCAGATGTTTAGAGGAACCTTCTTTTTTGTGTCTGTGAGAAGGAGTCTTTTGAAGAATAAGATTGTATAACTCGTAGATGTTATAGGAAGATGAGGATCACCATCATCTTTTAAATTTTGTAATTCTTATATAATTTATAATTTAATTCTTATATAATTTATAATTTAAATTTTTTAAATTTAATGATCATTTAATATATTTACTTTTATATTTATAATTATATCCTTTCATTACTCATAATTTTTATATAATTTATAATTTTGTCTTCTTAAACTTAAATATCATTTAATATATTTATTTATACATTTATAATTTTATCTTCTTATTTTTTTCATTTTTTTCTACCTTTTATATTTATTTATTATTTATTAATAATATATTATTTTATCATAAAATCAATAATAAAGATCCATCACTGATTATGATTATGCTTGTAGTTGAGTTCAATTAACCCAAGCCATGAAACACAAAGTGGACTAATATGATGGTCTTCCACATAAAAAAATAATGACACAATTAGTAGTTAATCCTATTTATCTCGTTTAATTTATTAACTTGAATGACATGACTTTTGAAAAATATTTATATATTAAAATTAGAATAAAAATAATTAAAATAAAAATATTATATTTTTAATGTTATATTATTAATATATATATATATATAAATATATTATAATTTAAATTATAAATAGTAATTAATTTTAAATATAATTGAAAATTTTAACTTATAAATATAATAACTTTTTTAATCTATCTAATAAAAACATTAAGTAAGTAATAAAAACTTTAAAATTATTCATATAATTAAAAATATATTTTTACATAAATTGATATAAAAAATATTGATATATTATTCAATCAATTCATCATTTGACGAGACAAACTAAAATCTATAATCTATCTTAATTACGATGAACCATGTTTTGTACGAGATATGAAACTGACTAAAATGATGCATATTATCCAATTTTACTATTTTTAATTTATGAATAAACTTCAGAGGACTATAAATATAATCCAAGTTGTTTTATCTATAAACGAGAGTATATCGATCTCATGTCTGTTATGATAACATCATTAAGATCAATTTTCACGTATGAAACATTGTTATCTTTGGAGTTTTTCTCCGTCACAACTTTTTCCTTCAAAAACTCGTCGATGGGGTAAAGAAATGAGAGTGTTATAAACTATTATTACCCTCGACTCCTAAGTAATGTAAGACTCGTGAGTGTACCCAACTATAAATTTTCAACCGAAGACTAAGAGGGTATGAGTAAAGCGAGATTAAGCTCTCTGTTAGGTATTTTTAAGGGGGAGGTATACCGATATTGAGTAACTTACAAGTGAAAAATACTCATAACCTAATGTCTTAAGGTTTTGAGTTTAAGGTGATATCATATTCTCTTATATGATTGACCCATGACCCATTTATGAAAATCTCTCTGTTGTTAGCCCCTTCAGAAATACCCAACATGGTATCAGAGCCGATGGTTCATCTAATGAGCCTCGAAAATACCTAACGAGTGGTATCAGAGCTTATGGTTCATCTAGTAACCGACACAATTGAGTATAATAGGTGAAATGTATTTGTGTCGAAAGTCTTCCTTACAAGCAGTGGCGGATCTTCTTGGGAGCTGAGGGGTCGTGGTCCCCAAACTTAATGAACATTTAATATATTTACTTGTATATTTACAATTTTATCCTCTGAGTCTCTCCTCACTCTCATATAATTTATGATTTTGTCTCCCTCAAACTTAATGATCATTTAATATATTTAAGTATATATCTACAATTTTATCCTTTCACCCTTTTATCTTCTTTTTTCCTTTTATATTTTTTATTATTTATTTATCAATAATATATTATTTGGCCCCCACAAGATTAATGGTCAAGATCCGCTACTACTTACAAGGGTATCAGTGCAAGCGAGTCTCGTTAAGTTGAATAGCGGTACAAGTAAGGTCATCACCAAGTGGCGGATCTTGACCATTGATTTTTGGGGGCAAATTATATTATTAATAAATATAAAATGGTGGAAGAAGATGTAAGGGTGATAGAATAAAATTGTAAATGTATAAATAAATATATTAAATGATATTTAAGTTTGAAGGGACAAAATCATAAATTACATGAGAGTTAGGAGTGATGAAAGGATAAAATTGTAAATATACAAGTAAATATATTAAATTATCATTAAGTTTGGGGGGCCAAAATCATTAATTATATGAGAGTTACAAAATTTTGGGGGGGTCACGACCCCCTCTGCTCCCAAGAAGATCCGCCACTGGTCATCACTAGGTACGCATGACTCCCGCTTGAGGGGAAGGTATACCATTGTGAAAGGGATGTAGAAATTGTTAGGTATTTCCGAGGGGGCTAACCGACTCAGTTGAGTATAGTAAGTGAAATGTATTTGTGTCGAAAGTCTTCCTGACAAGAGTATCAGACAAATGAGTCTCGTTAAGTTGAACGATGATACAAATAAGGTTATCACTAGATACACATGACTTCTACTTGAGGGGGAGGTATACCATTGTGAAAGGGAGGTAGAAACTGTTAGGTATTTATGAGGAGGCTAACAGCAGAGAGATTCTCACAAATGGGATATGAGTCAACCATATAAGAAAATATGAAATTATTCTCAACCAAAAACCTTAAGGTATTATGTTATGAGTCTTTCTCACTTATAAGCTACTCAACTTTCTGATTTCTTCCAAATGTATGACTTCAAACTCACACTTGAATTCTCAATACTTTCGACCCCATGGCGACGCCAATGTATTCTTACATGGCCAAGAGTCTTTTATAAGACAAATCTCCAGTAATACACTATGGTTTTCGCTTGAGGTAAACTCTAGGTTGTTGATTTGTGAATGACCAACGAGTTCGAGGTGTGGTCAGTATGCTTAAAAAAAATATTCTAATGTTCATGTCAATTATTTATCCACTCGCATTTGACCTTATGGATGAATTTGTTGGTGTAAATGATATTCTTACTTCATAATTAATATCAAATAAATTTGATTACTTCATAATTAATATCAAATAAATTTGACTACTTATGGTGAAAACATTAATTTGAATTTAATTCCATGATACTAAATTTAATAAAATAATATTTTTATTTATTAATAATAAAAATTATCATTATATTTATTATAAATTATAATAAATATTAAAAAAATAAATTAAAATTAATATAATTAATGTGAGATAAAGAAAAAATTAAAATATTATATTTTTTGAAAAAATTATATATTTAAAAATTATATATTTGAATATTTGTTTTACTCAAATCAACTTGATTAAAAGTTCAGTCAAATTTTTTTAAATTATTATTTTACATCAAGTTTATATTAATTTAATTAAAATGTAATAATTTATTGAAACAATTTTCAATTTGATTAATTAAAACCATCAATATTCAGTTCTCAAAACATAATCATATTCCACTTCTAAAAATACACATTTAAAAAATTTAATTTAGAATTGTGTTTCAAATTTTTTTTTTAAAAGGTATATATTTTCAAAGGCAGCTTTATTTTACATAATATTATAATTTTATTTATATATCTTTTTAATGAGCATTACTAATTTATCCTGTTGCATCGCTTATAAATAATTCCAAATTGATGAAAGTGTTTCTGAAAATGAAATTTTGAGGAAACGAAGAATGGAAACAATTTCAGAGCAAGATGCGAGGAAATTAAAGATAGTGAAACATTTCATGAGAGATAAACGAGGATTATTTGAAACGAATAAGCCAAAAATATTTACTTGAACCCTATGTGGTTGTGGTTAGCAGACATCTAATGAAATCTGTATTTTATTCTTAATGCGCTTGGAAACTGACACGTCATTGTGAGTGGGGTTAGCGTTTGAATAAAAAGTCTTGAGAAAATCTATATCACTAGGTTGTTAGAAAATCGAATCACTAAACAAAAATCAATCGAAAGTAGATAAAAAAATTATTAGTTTTAAAAAAATTACTAGTTTGATTTGACAGTTTAAAATTAAATTAGATTTAAATGACAATATATACTTATGAAATTAAAATATAAAATAATATTTATTATAAATGAATTATTAGTTTTTTATAATTTATTATTATTTAAATTAAATGTAGAATATATATAAAAAATTATAATTATAAAAATAATGATTAATCATGTATTATTTTTTATAATATATTTTTTATTTCATAAATATTTTATTATAATACATTTAATAATTTTATAATAAAAATCATAAAATATTGATTTTATTTGTTATTAAATTAAAACAAACCAAATAAAATTTAAGTATGATTAATCATATATTATTTTTTATAATATATTTTTTATTTCATAATTATTTTATTATAATACATTTAATAATTTCATAATAAAAATCATAAAACGTTGATTTTATTTGTTATTAAATTAAAACAAACCAAATAAAATTATACTTAAATTTTATATTTCTCAAATTATTTGTTAATAAAAAAACAAATCAAACTACCTCACAAATTGAATAGATTTTAATATATGTGATTTAAAAGTGGTATAAGAATATTTGTAATAGAAATGGTTTACACAAGATCTTACCAATAAAATTTAGTATGTATAAAATCATTTAAAATATATTAGAGATTTTAATTTTTATAAATAAAATATATTATTTTAATATAATATAAAATTATTTTATAAAAATAGATTCACTAATTAACTAGATCTCATATATAAAATTACGTAAAATTAATTATATAAATATATCTTATATATAAAAGATTTACATTAAAATGTTATATTTTATTTATAATTTTTTTAAATACTCTAAATTAGTAATTTTAACATTAATTTCTTATATGAAATTATGTAAAATTAGTTATATATATATATATATATAATTTACACTAAAGTTTTATATTTTATTTATAAATTTTTTTTAAATAATTTTAAAAATACTCAAAATTAGTAATTTTAACATTAATCTCATATATAAAATTACGTAAAATTATATATATATATATATATATATATATATATATATAAAAGATTTGCATTAAAATGTTATATTTTGTCTATAAAAAAAATCTTAAATAATTTTATAAACACTCTAAATTAATAATTTTTTAAATTTACAAACTAGTAGATAGACTTAAATTCGTGGATTAATTAATTAAATTCACTAATAGACAATTATGGTGTGTTCATAACTTTAATGAATTCAATATTTTGGTTCAAAGTTTATCTATGAATTTTACTAAGTGAATATTGTTTTTAGAAAACCTTTATTTTTAATTACACGGTTTGAACTTTATTGTTATAAACTTTGATATATAACATGATAGATTTTAGTTAAAAAAAAGTTTTTTTTTTTTAAAGTTTTTTGGACTATTTTTCTTTAACAAAACTATCACCATCTATATTGTATTTAATGTCACCACATTTTCCTTTAAAAAAAACTAGCAGTATTTATATTAACCAATAATGCAAACTTTCTAAATTGAAATATATAACTAATAACATCCACAGGTCTTGATAATTATATAATTTGTTATAATTTATAATAATTTTTAATTGGCATTGAATATAATTATAAAAAAGATAGTAAAAAGTAAGGGGTTGCAAAAATAGATTTAGTTTGATGTGGCATGTTAACCAATAGATTTATGGACTAACATGTTTTATAACTATTTTACCAATAAAATAAAAATATTATTATTTTATTAGAAAATATAAATATAATAAATTAATTTAATAAAAAAATATATAATTTATAAACAATAATAAATTTTAAATATATTTTTTATTTATTTTATTGTTTTCATCATATTTATTTTTAATAATTAATAATTTAAGATGACATAGACATAGTATATTTTCAAAGTAAAAATTATGTTAGATAATAAAACTAGTAGGTAAAAGTAATAAAAATTTGATTATAAAATTTTTTGAAATGTACTTCCTAAATACATTATTATTATAAGAATGTACATTATTATTATTATAAGAATGTTTGTGAGGTAAATAATTGAATTTTGATTTTAAGTTAATTACTAGAAACATTTTAATTACATATATTTATAATGTGTATTTAACTGAAAATAAAAAAAAGTTAAAAATAAGATAAATTTCACTTTTGATATTTTCAATAATTATAACAATTTATTTGTATAGTTTTATATATTTTATTTAATTTAAATCATTTAAAAATTCATTTTAAATAATAAATAAATTATATTTTTTTAAATAAAATAAAAATATTATAAAATAAAAAATTTATATTTAATTAGTTCAAAATAATCCGTTAGCCTAATATTAAAATCAGCCAGATTGATCTATTATATATTTTGTTTTACTTGACTGAGAGTCAGGTGAATCCGATTCGGTGGCCGTAACAGCTAAATTTAAAGGAACCGTATCCCAAGCGTGACTTATGTGGGTCCGAAAATTTTTTATATTTTGGGCTTTTAAAGCCCAGTGTAGACCCATTAGGGGGCATCTAACGCATGAATCAAGGAGGCGCGAAATAATGAAAAAAGAAAAAAACTTAACAAATTTTCTTAAAAAATTAAATTAAATTCAATTACATCTACACTATGAAATTTATATATCATTTCTCATGGATCCATCTTTAAAAGTTATTTCATATGATTTTAAATATTATTATTATTATTTTAATAAGTAAAAAATGGCGTGGTATAAAGTCTAACAACAAATTAGGTTATGATAAATTATTGAAATGAACACCATGGTAAAAACTATTGAATAGTTTTCAATAATTTAATAATTTAAAAAATTATAGGAACTTTTACTGCCTCTTTTTTTTCTCTGTTATTGTGTAACCTAAAAGATGCAGGGTGAAGTGTTACTTTAAATTTTATTACTTTGTTACTTCTAATTCAAGGACAATAAAATTCTGTTGAAAACTAAATTTATACATTTATTAAATATTTTTATTATAAAAAAATTATAAAATATATTATTTTTTAAAAGTAACAAAAGAGATATTTAATCCAAATTGATGTAATAAGTCAGTTGACACAATCACAAAGGTTTTATAGATAAGATAAAAATGTTGCAATATTTTTATAGATAAGCACCAATTTTTTGTGGCAGTTGAATGAGAAGCCAAATGGCAAGCAAAGACAAAAGACCCATGAATTATAAACCAAGGCCACCATGAAAAAACTTAAGTGGAAAGCATTCATTCACAAAAAAAAAGGTCTAAAAAGCAAATGCATTACAATTAAAAGACTTCCTTCAATTATTACTGCTAATGTATATCTTTTAGCTGGACCACCCACCATTTAGCACAAAATATCTTAATAATTTTAACGACTAATCACGTGTGTTTTCACAATTCACAGGCTTAATTAATCCATTAAATGAATTCTACCTTGTTCATACTTACATGTTAGTGTGTGTCTCTTTCTCTAAGTTTTCAAAAACTTCTAAAGGAACGTTTCTTTTCATTCTTTGCTTTTTCAAACTTCGTCAATTCTCATCCATACGATACCTTGTTTTGTACCTTAAGAATAACAATTTTTATATTATATATATGATTACTTTATTTAACAAGTACATGCCCTAATTAACTATTTAACCATAATTCATTTATTTCAAAATTACAATTATTCGTGATTAATAAAGGTAAATTTTACACTATAGTATATTTATGAATTTATCTTATAACTTCAACATCTTTAATTTTCATGCTGTGCTTCTGGTTTGCTTGTACGTTTGGACAATGTTAAAGTGTCTGTAGATAATATATGTACAACTCTGCGCCTTCCACGACGGAAGAAAATTTTATTTGTTTATAATATTATAGGGATTATTATTTTAAATAATTAATAACTTAAAATCTTGAATATCATAATATGTTTAATTTTTATTAATAAAAAAATCAATAATAATAATAATAATGAATTATTACACGTAGATATTTTAATTACTCATCTATGTATAAGAAGTAAGAGAAAATTATTTTAATAGAACAATGATTTATTTTATGGTCAACACACGCATAATAGGTTCTTACGTTATGTCATGTTATGACAACCTTAGTCTCTATGGTAACCGTTGTAGTGTTATTATTAGTTCCCATAATGGAGAACATCTAGTAAATTCTAATCTAACTTCCCAAACGCTCTTTTCCCCGTTAATTAGTTTATACACGTTCTATCAATTTTATCATTTTATTTCAATTAATTTTACCTTTTTCTTTTACTATTTAATTTAATCAAATTATGTACATCTTCATGGTATATATGGTCCAAGCATTTTTTTTTAATATTATTTTGTAGCAAACTCTTCAATATATGTCAAATCAACTTCCAAAACAAACAACTTTCTTTTACGTGGCATAAACTTTAGTTTAAACATTATAATATCCCAAACACGGCCTTTATATAGCCCTACTCGCCCATTCCACACCACATTCCAATTCATAAACTGTATTCCAACACAAAACAACAACAAAGTCCACTCACTCACCACTCTCAAACAATGGAAATTCAACCAAGCCCAAGCCCAAGCCCACAGGCCGCGGCGAGGAAGCTTTGGAACGTAGTACGCGTGGTGTTCCTCATGTTGAGAAAAGGCATAGCCAAGAGCAAACTCACCTCCGCCAAAGCAATCCTCCACCTCCACCGCCACCACAACCACCACGACGCCATTTACCCCCGCTGCGACTACGAGTTCAGCTGCAGCAACAGCCCCGCCGCCACCTTCCCCTTCCATGTCATCAAACGCAGCAAACAGCGAAGCAGGTTCCCCCACTACGACGACGTTTCTACCGTTCAGAGAGTGCTGGAGATTCTCAACAACAAGACGGAGGATTCACCTCTGAGGAAGAGTTCGAATGGGAGGAAAGTGAGAGTGACGGACTCTCCCTTCCCTATGAAGGAGGAAGAAGAGGACAACCAAGTTGACGTGGCGGCTGAGGAGTTCATCAAGAGGTTCTACAAGGACCTCAACTTGCAGCAGAAAATGGTTGCCATTGAATCACCCAACCATCATAGCTTGTGGGACAGATGATAACTATTACCCTCTTTCTTATCCTCAAACTACATCGTATAGTTTCGAAATACTATGTATCCCAACACCATGTTTAATTTCTCTGTTATACGTGCACATCTTCTTGATAAATATGAGTTTAATGGATATATACTGGTTTTGTAAAAAAATAAAAATAATATATATATATATATATATATATATATATATATATATATATATATATATATGGGAAATTCTGTGTAATTATCATACAAGTTAACAAATTAAATGTATATTCGTATTTTGATGGTAGATAGTATAAAACTATTTATGTTTTTATTGGTACTGGGAAAAATATTATGTTATCAATTTAATGATATATTAATAATAAGTTAAAATGGTTAAATTTGAAATAAAAATACAAAATAAATTTTTGAATTGGGATGAAATTATGATACTAAATATCAATGAATATTGTGAGAAAAATCTTAATATATTTTAGGATAAATATTACTTTTTTATGTCATTGTTGATATTTTTGTTTATTATAATGTTTAAAATTTATTGAATAATGAGCATTTATTGTTTATATACACGTAATCATTGTTTCATTTATTTAAAAATCTTTTTACAGTCCATATTAAACTATTCACTTACAGCATATTTTAAGGAAAGATAATAATATGTTTAGATAAATAATTTATAATATTTTTTATCATCACGAAAGATCACCCATCTTTTATATATATATATATATATATATATATATATATATATATATATATATATATATATATATATATATATATATATATATGTGTGTGTGTGTGTGTGTGTGATTATACTATATAGATATTAATAATAATAATAAAAAATTTCTCTCTTATTTTATATTATTTCAAGAAAATGTATAATGTATTTTTTAATTACACATTTAATAAATTATATAAAAATGGATTTGAAGCATAACTAATATTATTAGTATAAAATTGTTTTGTATATATAAGAAATAAGAAAACAATATTTAAAAATTTAAATTATTTCATTGTTAGAAATATAAGTAAGAGTAGAGACATCTTATGTTAAGTAAAATTAATAAAATTAAATAATTTATAACCTAAAATTTCAAGATTTTAGATTAATAATAATTTCATATATAATTAACTTGTGTTTTGTTATTGCTTTTTTTATTGTTAATTACTTTAGATTTATTTAATTTCATATTGTTTTTACCAATACAAGTTATTCAATTTGTTACGAAACTCATTGCAACCAATTTCTCTCTTTTTTTTTTTTGTCACGTCACCTTCATGATTTTCACAGCCTTTTGTCAAGTGAAAAAAAAGGTGGCATGGTGGGAGTTATTCGCACGGAGAGAGTATCTAGTTAGTTAATGACACAACTATGTTTAAGTTGTGACTTAACTTTATTGTAGAAGAGGTTTTGATGTAGCCTTGTCTTTTGGTTACCTAGTTTTTTTTATTGGCTTTTTCATGTGTTTATAACAAACAAGAAAAAGTAAATTTCATCCATTATAATGTGAATTTTTTTTATTTGTGTTAGTATTACGATGAGTTCTACTTAAATTAAAAGTTATACTTAGTTTATATATATATATATATATATTTTTTAATATATTAATACAAAATCGTGATAAATAATAATTTCAAAGTGAACAATATCTTGAATACGAGAATTAAATACAAAAATATTATTATATTAGTAGATATGAGGTTAAAATATATTTGTTCCTAAATGGAATGTTAACGTCTTTTATGAGACTAAAATTCGAGTCTTATTTCACTCGTATTCTTTAATTCTCGATTGAAGAGTTTATATTTCAATACACTCACGTATCTTATCCCACATATAATATTTCATACATAAAAATTTGATCATAATAATATTTTTTAATAAATATAATCAACAAATACATAACTGTTAAAAATAATAATAAAAAAGAGAGAGTAAAGTTCCGCGAAATAAAATATAGTTCTGACAAATAAAATATATTTCTTTCCATTGTTTCTTCTCTTTTAATTGGTCTATATGCACTACGGTGATTATATGTTTTTTTATTTCATTTATATATACACTTACCATATGCTGTATTTAAATTAAAAGGGTTGAAAATTATAAGTGGGTTGAAGTATGACTAATTTATAATTAATATATAATTTTGATTTTCTATTGATTTAGTTAAACATTAATTTATATTTAATATGATATCGAAATTTATCTTAATAGAATTTATTTATTTTTTATTTTATTTGTTAATTAAATTACTAATCTGTCACTCTCATTCGACGTGACTAAATATATATACAATTTATAATATATAAATAATGTAAAATTTTTGTCTTATAAAAAATTATTTACGTATCTATCATTTTTAATATAAGGTTTTCAAATTCATTAACATATACTTAACCTTAACACAAATGGAATGATTCAAATAAGAATATATATATATATATATATATATATATATATATATATATATTAGTTTTTTATGTTAAAAATTTATTAAAGTGAGCACGAAGAAGATGAGTTAACATTTAAACAAAAAAAAAAAAACACTAGTGGGGAAAATTAATAATTTTAATAAAGAGTTGGTGATAGAGTGGTGCTCTATAATTGGATTGAAGAGTTGTCCCTTTCAAATCAAGCACTAAGTTTTGCCTTTAGTAGTGAACGATATTTTAACCTTTTTTCTTGGAGTTAATTTCAATATCTTCAATTTGGAGCTAGCCTTTGACACCTGGCATGTAATTGTCTTTTTTTTTTTTTTTTATTTGAAATCTCAATTTCACATTCAATCTCATAATTGGACATCAATCATATTCCATTGATATACTGTGTTTTGGAAAGTTTTATGTTCAACAAGGAGTAGCTTTTGAGAACTTAAAAAAATAAAAATAAATGAATTTTGATTTTGTTAATGTTATAATATTGGTCTTTTTTATAATTTTATATTTATTACGTAAACTAAATAAAATAAATTTAAATTTATCTTAATTTTAAATTTTGAATGTTTAATAATAAGCCGAAACTTTTGTATGAAATTTAAGGATGAATAAAAATAAAAATAAAAATAAAAAATCAGTATAAATAGACTCATTTGTGAAATTTTTTTATTGTAATTTTTTTTAATTATCTAATTGTGATATAAAAGCTTATAATTAGTGTGATAACTGATTAAAATTGAATAAAAATTATGAGAAATATGATATTATGAATCAGGTAAACGAGTACTGTTGAATTAAATTATATGTTTATTTTTTTATCCAAAATAATCTCATTATTTTTCATGATAGTAGAGTTTTCTTAGTATAATAGACAATTATTTTAGTCAACATCATTGTTTGCTCAATTGTCCTGGTCAAATAGAGATGTAAGAAAAAACCTTACATCTGAGTACCTCAATTTTTCAAATATGATTTATAGTTCACTTAATTGATGTTAGGTTAAAATCTAGTACTGAAATTTTTCCCTATCCTCTTATAAATACCTACTAATTTTGAATTCATAATCATGATAAAATTTTCTTTGATAAATAATAAATATTAAATTTACTGTGAGTGATTTAAACAAATAAATATAAACAAATTATATTTATATTTAAATATGATCCAAAATAAATACAAATCGGTTATCAAAATTAATTCCCTACATCTAATATTATAGTATTTAAGAAGTATAATATAATTTTAATATATTCCACTTTTAATATAAATGTATGATATAATTTAAAAAGAAATACTTTCTTATGTCAAACCAACTTTAACCTATAAATATAACTTTAAAAAATGTTACGATCTCGCTTAATTATAATGATATATATATATATATATATATATATATATATATATATATATATATATATATATATTTATTAGTATAAACATTTTTTACGTGTTACTTAGTGGGATAAATAAAAAATAGTGCATTGATTTGTCGATTACTTGTATAAAAGTAGTGGCAATGAGAATAGTAGAACCATTTTCTAAAAGATAAAGAAAGACATGCTACTTTTGGTTCATCACATAGGTAAGACAAAAAAGTGTTGCATCAATGGATTAAGAATCGACTAAAGGTTGGAAGTTTTGGTTTTTATGTTCCATATTTAAATACGTGCACCACCAACTACTACACGAATTCTTCTTGTGTGAACATGAAAACTTTTACTCTAACAGTCTGTTTGTTTCCACTGATAGACTGTTCATGAAGATAGAAAGACGAGGATGACACACGTTTGGTTGAACAGAAACACGACGAAATGAGAGCGAGAAAAAACCGGAGATGGGAGAAAGAGGATCTTCGCTGATCCACGAAGAAAAGCGACGAAAACCTCCTGGACAAATTGAAATGTCCAACTTACCCTCACTCTGGAAGATTCACTGGTGCAAGCATGCAGAGAGATTACTGGAATATAATTTATGCAGAGAGATTCACTGGAAGAACTGAAATATAATTTATGCAGAGAGATTCACTAGAAGAACTGAAATATAATTTATGCAGACAGATTCACTGGAAGGTCTGTAAAATGTAGACTTTAGATAGCGGTTTCACGTTAACCGCTATCAGATGTTCACTTTTAAGAGCGGTTAACATCTTAACCGGTCTTAAATGTGAACATATGATAGCGCTTAACCTGGAACCGCTATCATAGGTGAACATATGATAGCGGTTCCCGGTTAACCGCTATCTAAAGTCTCGAGTATTTAAAAATCTGATCGATCATTTTGGCAAAGTAATCGATCAGATTTTCAAATACCCATCGACTTTAGATAGCGGTTAACCTGGAACCGCTATCATATGTTCACCTATGATAGCGGTTCCAGGTTAACCGCTATCTAAAGTCTCGAGTATTTAACATTCTAATCGATCATTTTGGCAAAGTAATCGATCAGATTTTCAAATACTCGAGACTTTAGATAGCGGTTAACCTGGAACCGCTATCAGAGGTGAACATATGATAGCGGTTCCAGGTTAACCGCTATCTAAAGTCTCGAGTATTTGAAAAATTATATCTTCTA